TGTTGCTAGGGCAATTTGCTTTCCCAAAAAATCAAAGAAACGACGTCTGTTGTTGGATCAGCTTCGCTATAAAGGTGACTATAACCACAATGTAACTGTCTTGCAGACAGGACAAGGGGAGTTAGTGACTTTTAGACAACCTACCGAAGAAATAGATCCACATAAGTACTTGCCCTGCAATTATTGTTATGGATTTTTCCTAAAACATTACCTCTGGAAGCATGAGGTTTCCTGCAAAAAACGAAAGGGTCTCCCTCAGGAAGAATTCAGGAAAAAAAAGAGAGTCCAAGCTGCAGCTTCCTGTCTCATTCCAAGACAAGGTAATACAACAGAGAGATGTCGTAAAATCATTGGTAAGATGCTGCATGATGAGGTGTCTCTTCACGTAAAATCAGATGCACTTATTTGTGAGTATGGCGACAGATTGTTGGAGAAGCATAGGAGCGATCCATCCAAAGATGGTTATGTGAGTCAGAAAATGAGGGAGTTGGGGAGATTTGTGATTGCTGCAAAGGCACTAAACAGAAAGGTGAAAAAACTTGATGATATCGTAGTTCCACCAATGTTCAAGTTGGCTGTTGATGCAGCTAAAAAGGCATCTGGCTTCACCAAATCAAAATACCGCTATGATCGACCATCTCTTGCTGTAAAACTAGGACACTCTTTAAAGACAGTTGGTGATATCTTGATAGGCCATTATGTAAAAGCAGAAGACGAGGTAGCTGCAAACAGGGTCAGGAGCTTCCTGGGGTTACTGAGCTCAGAATGGAACCACTATGTCTCACATCGTGCAAGGACAAACCTGGAAGAAAACAAGTGGTACAAAAAGGAAATGATCCCTCTCACTGAAGACGTAATTAAACTTCAAAAATATTTGAAGTCCATCGAAGAAAATGCCACAGAGAAACTGAGAGAAGGTCCTGATCCCAAAGCATACGCCATGCTAAGTGAAACCGTCCTCTCACAAATTACACTGTTTAACCGGAGGCGCCAAGGCGAGGCAGCTAAAATGCTACTTGAAACATATGAGAACAAAAACACAGAGGCACTAAATGAGGATGTTATGCAGTGCCTCACAAAATTGGAACGTGACCTGAGTAAAGACTTCACAAGAATAGTGATAAGAGGGAAAACAGGGCGAAAAGTACCAGTGCTGCTTACCAGAGAGATGACGAGAGCACTGGATTTTCTCATTGAGCACAGGACGCAGGAAAATTCCATTCTTTACACCAACAAATATGTCTTTGCAAGACAAAAGTCAGACTCCCATATAAGAGGTTCCGACTGTCTCAGAAAATTTGCAAATCTGTGTGATGCAAAACATCCTGAGACCCTGACCTCAACTCATCTAAGGAAGCACATAGCGACTCTTTGTCAAATAATGAACCTAAAGGATCATGAGTTGGATCAGTTGGCAAAATTCATGGGACATGATATCCGTGTTCATAGGGAATATTATCGCCTAACTGAGAACACGATCCAACTGGCAAAAATGAGCAAGCTGCTTATGGCGATAGAATGTGGAACTGCTGTTTATAAAGGAAAATCTCTAGATGAGATTGACCTTGAATTAGAGGGTGAGTATCTAAAACTCACACACACTTTTTTACGTATTGGAAAGTTGTAGCAATATACACTAAAAAGGAATTTGGAAAGAACATGTGGCTTATGCTATATAAAACGTTTCTCTTCTGTGTTGTCGTTACAGTTGCTTTGTGTAATAAACCCAAGCAAGGGTGCATTGCAGAAGATGTCATGATGGAGATGTCTACTGGACAAGAACAAGATGGTATGCAAGTCATTATAGTAGAGGTTAGGGTTCAAGTCTGAAACCTATTGTGCTGAAAAGTTTTAATTATCAGTATTATTGTCAGCTATTATTTACCCATTTCATTTGTAATATTGTAGGTTTGCATCATTACTGATGCACAGTGGGGTGTAGGGCTGCACGATATATCGTTTCAGCAT